ATTTCAGTCAGCTGTCCCTCTGTCTTGTAACCCCCCCCCCCCCTCCCCACGGGCGGTGGTACCAAAGTTTGGTTACTCTCAAAGCCTCAGAATCCCTTGAAACTTACAATTTTGTATTTTAAACAGTTTTTTGTGTGCCTTTAATCAACGTTTTTCAGTAACATTCGCTCTGAAATTTATTCTTCAATGGACATAGAAGGTGTTGAGCCAAAAAACAAAATTTCCGTAAAAATTGCCAAACCAGTGGAAAAGTGTGAGGTTCTTTACTTTCATTCTATTGACAAGCGCCTGATTCCACCACGCTGCCTCACATATGTGAGACGTGCTGACAAAATGAGGTACTTCTCGCAATCCACCAATGGAGATATTGGCCAAAAATGGAGACTAGGGTCATATTTGTAGATTTTCTATTGATGCCATATTCTTAAAATGTATAATAAGCCTTTTATTGTTTCATACTTATAAATTGTAAAAACTTCACCTTTATAAGCATGACGTATCTATTTCTACAGGTTTCGAATCAGAGAAGTAAGTAATTTTGTCAGCACCCTTCACATATATATAATAATATATGTTATTCGTTTTCTCGATGTTCTCCAGGGATTGGGAACTCTGCTGTGTACGGCAATGGGCTGCTGATGATCGGGAAATATTTCCGCACACGTCGCACACTGGCCACTGGCATAGCCGTCTCCGGCGCCAGCATCGGCCAGTTTGTCATGCCAGTGGCCATCGAGTTTTTCCTGGAGCAGTACGGGCTCGGCGGCACGCTGCTGCTCATCTCTGCGCTGTACTTCCACTCGTCCGTGGCCGGCATGTTGTTCCGACCCATCGAGCAGTACGCGGAGGAGATTGTCGCGCCGCCGTCGCCCGGGGCAGAGGAAGTACAGGTGACGTGTGGCGCTGTGTGTCTTGTCACTTCAGTCACTGTGTACCCCCCGGGGCGGTGCCACTGACTGAAGTGTCTTTAGGCCATTCCCAAAGGGGGGACTTTAACATGTTCTAATGCACAGTAGAATTGTAAATGGGCTGATTTATCAATGTCATGCTCATACTGTGCCGGAACAGTATAGGGGGAACTGCTGCTTTTTCTTTCCTCATCCTTACTACCGTCATTTTCCTCTACTTCTTTTGTATGTTTGTCACTCTCTTGTGAACTGCTATTTCCGGGGTGCCTTGATAGTCGAAGCAGACTTTGTACTGTTGAAGCTAGAGAGGTGAGCAGAGTAAGCCTGATTCCCTGTAAGGACTTCTCTGTTGACATTCACCCCTTGCTCTCATATGACCTTATGCAGTTGCAAGCACTTTAAAATGAGTTTAAAACTCTACTAAAACAACCAAACAAACAAACAAACAACCAACCAAACACTACACCTCCACACCTTTCTGCTAGATAAAACACTCCCCCCCTGTGTCTCACGTCTGGCGATGTTTGTGTGTGCTCCTACAGGAGGGTCTGGCTGCTGGTGAGGGGGCTCTCAGAGATGTTGCTGATGCTGCGGGGGTCAGTGAGGCTGGTGATGATGATGATGACAAAGCTGGCACAAACCACAACATTCTCTCCAACGGGACTGTCTCTGTACCTCGTGAGTGTAACGACGTGGCCGACAGCTGTCAGCTAATTAGGTCAGGGAATGGCACAGATGGCAGCCCTGAATCGCGGGAAGAGCTCAGTAAGAAAGCCATCATGTACGCCAGTTCTGGGAGTCTGGTCGCTGCCAGTGCCAGTATCCCTGACGTGTCGCGGACAGACGTGTCAGGTACAGACGGTGAGCCGGGCCAGGCGGAGGTCAGCGTAAAGCGAGGTCCGTCCGTCCTGGCGCGAGTGCTAGACTTCTCCGTTCTGAACAGTTACGTGACCGTTTTCTACACCTTCCTCTCCTTCTTCTGCTTCTTCGGGTACTTCAACCTCATCCTCTTCCTGCCCGCGATCCTGGGAGAGAAGGGTGTGGAGAGCTACGACAAAGCCTTCCTCATATCGCTGTGTGGCATCGGAGACCTCATCGCTCGTCTCGCTACGGGGTTCTTCGGAGATATGAAAATCGTGGCTCGCTACAAGATCAAGGCCATGGCGTGCCTTCTGTGTGCCATCAACATCGCTTTCTTCATCTACGCTGACACGTACGCCTGGCTGGGCGTTCACTGCTTCCTGTACGGGCTTCTGGGCGGCAGTTACGTGTGTCTCCTGGCCGTAGTTCTCGTAGACTTTGTGGGTCTGGAGACCATGGCGAAAAACCTGGCCGTTGTTCTCCTCATACAGGGGGTGGGCGGGGCAATCGGACAGCCCTTGCTAGGTGAGTGGGTGCTCCGTGTCTGTGCTGCTTGTGTTGGTGTTTGTGTGTGTCAGGAAATCGTTCTCTTTCTCGTATTGTTTGTGAGTGGTTTGCGGGTGCTCTGGTCTAGTTTGCTTCTTCTTTCCTATCAAACATCTATCGTCCTTATCTACCCTCCTTCATTTTTATGTTTGTTACTCTCTTGTAACACCTCTAATCTTCGGCACTTGTATGACATTATTGTGTTGCAAGTGCTGTAAAACTCTTACTAAAACAAAGTAGAATTTCGTCTGATCTTTTCACATTGAGATTTAGCAGGACTCGACAATGGTTCTTTAATCTCTCTAGTTATGTTCACAAATTTTGTCATTTCTCGTTTGATATTGACATTTTATCAGTTTTCAAGACAACTTTGTAAGTGAAAAAGTGATGCAATGTACTTACATGACCTTTTTGTATGTTTGTCAATCTTTATCTAATATTAGTTTTCTTTGTATGTCCCCCCCCCCCCCCCCTTCCCATCCAGGTATCGTGCGGGACAAGACAGAGTCCTACAACGCGGTGATCCTCGTGTGTGCTGTGAGCCTGGCTTTTGGCGGTGTCGTTCTGTTCCTTTATCCTCTGGTGAAGGTACGGGAGAAGAGGAGGAGGGACAGGACACAGTCAGCTGTGTGACATGTGTGTGTGTGACATGTGTGTGTGTGTGACGTGTGTGTGAGTATGTGTGTGTGACACGGAGGAGCGGAACACAGTCAGCTGTGTGACTCACAAAAAGTTCCACCATTTCACCAAAACTTATATTATAATGCTTTATCATGACATCTCGGGTCTTTTTTTTCAACAGACTCTCCCGTGACTTTCCTCCCTGTATATACGTACATCAGTGTCGGAACGACGAATGCTTTTTATCAGTATATGACTCGGTAACTTGCAAGTGTTGAAAAACTTGTACTAAAGCCAAAACTTGGTCCAAAACTGCTTTATGACAGGCTGGCTGACATCATTTTTATGTCAGCAGATTCATGTTCACTACAATGTTATGTAAAAATGACTATGTATCCATTTATGTTATTTTGCGAGTTGCATTGTGTATATTATTTTTTATGTGTTTGTCAGGAAGAATGAAAGGTTAGGATGACCTGTGGCTTCTGCTGTGGCTAGTGAGACCCATTGTGGCAGAGTAAAGTTGGCCACATTTTGAACATGTGAAAGTTTGCACAGGTGTAATCTCAGGGAAGTGGGTGGTTGGCAGGTGCTCTGGTGCACAAACATCTATCGTCTTTATCTCTCCTAATTCTTTTTTGTGTTTGTTACTCTCTTATAACACCTCTAATCCTCGGTACTTATATAACCTTATTTTGTTGCAAGTGCCGTAAAACTCTTACTAAAACTAAAAAGTAAATCTCAGGGATATTCAACTACAAGAAATCCATACTTTCAATCTTTAAAAAAGGTTGGGTTTTTTTTGTTTTTGTTTTTTTGGTTAGAGCGAGTCAAGTTGTAACATTGATGTAACTGTGACAAGTTTTGTAAATATGATATGTTATGGTTGAGTCTATGGTGTTGTTGCTGTCTCCACGGATACGTTTATTGAAAGATATTTGTCACAACATGGTGGAATCAGGCGTTCGTCAGTTTTTGGGCATGTGGAGTTATTGGTATGATCTTAAAGCTCGTCCAATTGTCTTGCTTGTGGGGACAAAAATATCCATTTTGTGTCTTTGATACAAGTCGAGATATTGGCGATAGAAGGAGGTGGGGATTGCCTTGTTTTTAGAGGTAAAATTAGCGAGAAAGTGACCGCCAAAGATGAGTTATTTTCTGAGCTCGAGAGTCCGTGGAAACTGAAAATTTACATTTGTTGTGTCGTTAAGCAACATTTTTCAGTAAACTCCACACAGAAATTATGTGCTCTTTAATGGCCATGAAAGGTGTTGAAGCAAAAAACAAAATTTCGATAAAAATCCACAAACCTGCGGGGAAATGCCAGTTTGTTCACTTTGATTATTTTGATGAGCGCCTGATTCCTCCACGCTGCCTCACTTATTGATGTGACAGTGACAAATTTTGTAAACATACGTGGTTGAATGTAGATCTAAGGTGTTTATGATGTCTCCACTCACGTGTTTATTTAGAGATATTTTCTTTTTTTGGAGGGCTGCAATTTCTGTGTGTGTTTGTGAATGAAAAGTAGCATGAGGGGTGTTTGTACATTTGTGTGATTTTGTGTTTTGTGCCCTGTAGCAGTTGTTGCTGTTGCTGTTGTTGTTGGTATATTATATAACTGTGGTTGCATTATGTATTCTGCCCTGTAGTAGTTGTTCTTGTTATTGATATAATTGTGGATGTACAGTATAACTCTTTGTCTTGAATGGTCTTGAAGTATATATATATTTGTTTTTCTCCTGTCTACATTTCTGACAAAACTATCAGCGAGAAGAAAGCTGTTGTTCAAAACATTCTCTGCGTTGTTTCTGCGTTTTTCATAGAGAACAAAAGGATCTCGCTATTCTTAAAGGCTATCTGTATAGATATAGATAGATATAGATTGTGAAGCGCTTACAGCTTGTTGTTGAGCGGGAATTTGCGCTATACAAATGCTATCTATTATCATGACTACATTAATGATTAATTTCCCTTTCCTCAGGTCTGATTTCCTTCCATTCCATGTGCCTCGTTGTAGAGATGCACGTTTCTCTGTCTGTCCTTTCTCAGGGGTTTGCTTTATCGTGAAATGACTTGTGAATACGGTAGGCATAGATGTTGAATAAATTACTGTAAGACGTGGTAGGCCTAGATGTTGAATGAAGTACTGTAAGACGTGGTAGGCCTAGATGTTGAATAAATTACTGTAAGATGTGGTAGGCCTAGATGTTGAGTGAAGTACTGTAAGACATAAAAGAGATAATAAATCAATAGGAATGAAAGGTGCAAGGGGAAAACCAGCAATGTCAGTTTTTGGCATTTTGAGAAAAAGCACAACTGAAATGTGTGATAGCCCAGAAAATATGGAACACCTTGCCTCAGGATCTTGGAGAAAGAACAAATTTTGATAGGTTTAAACGATTTCTCAAGACTCTGGATCGATAACAACAACTCAAGACTCATTTGTTTAATTGTTAGCTATAGGCTGTTTGTAAGTGCTGATTTTTAAATCTTACCTTTGGTGTATAGTTAGTGTAATGTTGTGGAAGTTCTTCTCTATGTGGTGGAACTGGTTTGTCTTGTTTCTGTGAACTATTTTCCCTTGTGGGAATGATCATGTGATTGGTGGAAAGCGCTCAGAGTTTATATTATTAGTAGGGGATTGAGAGCTATATAAATGCAATCTATTATTATTATTATCATTAATATTTCCATAAAATAGCATACTTTTCAA